TATTAAAACAGGAAAATGTATATATGCACACACAAATGCAAAGATTGTGTAAGTATATTTACTATATTTTTATTTGTGATAGTGAAGTCTGGGGAAACATAAATATTCATTAAGGAGTTTTGTTGAATAAACTGTAGCACATAAATATATTATTATGCTGGCATAGCAAGACAGCCATGATATAGTTGCAATTGAGTTAAACAACAAGCAGAATAGCATTTACAGTGTTACCTGGTGAGTGAGGTAGTGAACTGCAGTGGTCAAAGGATGGGCTTTTGGGGTGAGTAGACTTGGATTTGAGTCCTAGCACCAACACCTATTTCTTGTCTCTTTGGTTGTGAGCCGAGTCTTTAATAACTGTACCAGCTCTCCAGCCCCAACATTTATTTTTAACTTCTTTAAGTCTTTATTGATTTATCTATCCAACTGGCATGGAATCTACCTCACAGAGTTGTAAGGAGAATGCCTAGTATATATAATACTATTAAAATTTGGGCTGGTGAGATGGCTCAGTGGGTAAAGGCACTTGCTGCCGAGCCTGACAACCTAAGTTCCAGCCCCAGGACCCACCAGGTGTAAGGAGAAACAATTCCTGCAAGCTGTCCTCTGACCTCTACTGATACACTGTGGCAGGTGTAGTCATATATGTGTGGACTCTCTCTCTCTCTCTCTGTCTCTCTGTCTCTCTCTGTAATAAAAAGTTGAACACCTCTTATTTCAACTAATTCTCATGAAAACCACTTTCAAAAGTGAATATAGCATGTTTGTTATTATAAAATATAATTTAGAAAATTGTACTGCAGCTAAATTTACACATCAAAGGCACTTTTTTTTAGCTTCTCAAACAAACCATTCGAGTTATCTGATCATCTAACAGATACAACAGTGAATATAATGCACCAGTTTTTAACAAAGATCTTTTTTGATTGTATATTCTTAACAAAGGGTGAGTTTAGGCATTATATTTAAGTGCCAAAGTAAATCAAAACTATTATGTTTAGATAATCTTAGTTAAGAAAACTTCGAGGCCTTCCTGCCATAAGCTATAAAGTGCCCTCAGGTCATTGAACTGGTTATTAACGCTCCTTGTGGAGTGGTTTCCTTTATATACAGTTTTGTACCATATTAGAAAATTATAACAAAAAGCAAGGCACAATTTTAAGAATTATTTTCCTAGTAAAAATAGGAAAGGAAACTGTTTAAGATAAGAAAATATGTTAAGTACAAATACATTAAAATGCCCATATTGACATAGAGTCTATATATGAAACACAGTACATACCCTTCTGTTCGGAAAATCACCCGAAAGCTGTCTCCTAAGCTCTTATAACTGTGTGGATCCACTGCCTGTCTCTGAATCTGGAACCTGGAAATAAAATCAAGCAAAGACACAAAAGCCCAAATTAAAGATTTTGCTGAATAGCTTTTCTTGTTTTTCAGTCTTAGAAACTCAGCCTTTTTTACAGATTAACTAAAAATATTCCAATTTTTACTATAGGATTTTATTGATTTATTTTCCTTACATAATCTTTGTCTTGTTTATGTAGCGTTTATTCCTTTGTACTTAAATATTATTTTTTATTTTATGTGTATGAGTGTACTGCCTGCATGTATGTGAGTGCACCCACGTCATGCAATGCTGCGGAGGTCAGAAGAGGGCTTTGGATTCCCCTGGAATTGGAGTTAAGGACGGTTCGTAGCTGCCCTGTGGGTGCTTGGAATCGAACCCAGGTCCTCTGCAAGAGCAGTCAGTGCTCTTAACCTCTGAGCCACCTCTCCAGCCCCATTCCTTCCTTTGTACTTTAATAATAAATCCTATGCTTCTGTTTCTCAGCCAGGCAGATACTTCTTGAGGCATTTAGATATTTTTCTTTTGTGAAAAGCATATACAGATGTTATGTAGTTTTAATACACACTTCAGAAATCTGTAGATGTGTATGGAATAAATATATAGTTATAATCTTAAATAATTTTTCTTGATGACTATTCAATATAAAGTTTAAAAATACAGAACAGTTAGTAGTCTACAAATTGGATTCGGAGTGTGAACTCTGAATGAGTTCTGGCAAATTAGCATTTGAAGAATTGTGATTTATGTTGGGCTCCATTTACTGTCACTACTTCATGATGGAAGAAGGTCTTTGCAGAGGCACAGTGCTCTGTGTATAGCTGTTGCTCATTAAAAATGTGTTCTTTTCTTTTTCATGTATGGTCGGCTATCTTTAGCTTTAACCCACTAAACATAGATGTTACCAGTATTTGGGGGTTTATTTCTAAAGACATGATAATAAATATTCTCATCTCTGTTATATGCCAATTTTTCTTCATTCTCTAGATTATTTAGTCTACCTACCCCTTGTTTTTTTACTTCTTTACCTCAAGTTCTGATTTAAGGCCCTTCTCCCTCTTCTGCTTCCTGACATAATTTCACATTTCTTTTTTTCCCCCTGGTAGACACGTCAAAATAAATGCTCTATTATCTAGGTCAAGACATTTTCTCGTATCATTAGCATTGTGATATTAACATTTCTATGAATAATGTACTGTACAATTCTAGGCCCAGCACCGGGGAGAGGGAGACAGGGGGGTCCTTGAGGTTCAGTGGTCAACTGGACTAGCCTACTTGGTGAACCCCAGGTCACTGAGAGACACTGCCTCCAAAAAACAAGGACTGTACTTGAGAAGGAGTAACATCCAAAGTTGTTATCTGGCCCCCACATGTACCTATGCAGACATGTGCACCTGCATACACCCTCACACATGCACACACAAACACACACATAGTTCAGATTGAACAGAGGTTATCAGAAGACCATGGACCAGGATGACTAGTTCATTTAAACTATTTTGGATCCAGAGGTGCTTCTGTCGTATGTATACTGCTGGCTTAAAACACGCAGTAAGTGGTCTGTCTAGAATAAGAACCAAACTTGATTGTCTAGGTATTTGTGGACTATAGCATGTAGATAATTTTGGATACATATAAATTAATATTACACAGAAATTAATATAATAGAAGAACTAGGTAGGGGCCTGTACAACAAATAATTGTGAAGCACATACTGTAGTTTCCAAAACGTGATTTGGGTTGTAGCTCAAATAAGCAGCTCCTTATCTACATTTGTATGTTTGTAACCTCTGTTCACTATTAAATAATGTTTCCTCATTTCTAGTTGAGAGATCTAAGATTTTTCTATTACAATTGTTTAATAAAATTATTTAAAATAATTTCACATATTATGAACGCATTACATGTATTTCTCATATTTATAATAATCTTTCACTAAATATATTTATCTTCGTCAAATTCCTTTCTAGATGCTTTTATTCCAAATTACCAAATATTTTCCTAATGTGTGCCAAATGAAACAGGATGCTAAGGCTTTTATAAAAATCTAGGGCATTTTGTCCATCCTTAACAAGTATAAGAAAGAACTATGAGAAAAGATTGACAATATAAGAGTATTTGCTAACCCCCTAACACCTGAAATGTCAAGAAGCTCGGGCAACATTTTGTCCAAGTGTTCAAGGGGGAGGGGGGAATTACTGTTTTCTCTGAAGGGTTAGGAAGAGATTCAGGAAGTGGAAGGGATTTGAACGGGTCCTCGTGGGATTCAAAAAGAGCAGACTAGCGGGGTAAGCAGGCCAGGTGGAGAACAGACCAAAGGCCAGCAAGGGAAAACCATCCTTCCTGATGGCAAAATGAGGAACATTTTCCTCTGAGCTGCAGCCTGTGCTGGGTTTCCTCCAGAAGATGCTCTGGCACTCAGCTTACCCTCGTTTGCTCAGGATGGGTGGAGACCTAAGTGGGTTTAGAGGAGAGCACCCAGGTGAGAGAATCAAAGCCCAGTGGAGAGCATTTATTTTTCCCTTTGCTCCTCAGCTGGTCACTTCAGTTCTCGGAATGGCCACCTCACAGGTGCATGACCCTGTTCCTAGAGAACACTGAGAGTCAGCAGGTGGACCACTATAAGCACCTCTAACTTATAGTGAACCTTAACCCCTCTTTTACTGCTGTGATTAGAGGCTCAGCTTTGTCCAAGCTATTTCCAAGTTCGGGTATTACCCAGACATGCACAAAGATGCACAAATAACCTATTAGAAATCTAGGCACTTCACTCCCTATTTGAAACTTTTTCTATTCAAAAAATAATTCCAATGTAATTTAATTTAGTTAATACGAGTCATTGAGCAAAACTAAGTAACATGTGCTCCACTTCTTGGAATTCTGCAAAGAAATAAGCCGTTTTGCATTTGAGAAACCTGTAGTTTGGTGAAGGAGCTACGTAAAGAAGTAATGGTATATGGAAGGAATAATGTGTAGAAATGGTGTTTCAGAGTATCAGATGCCAGCCAATGAGTTTTATTATACTTGTATTACTGTTATTAGAAATGATTTGTCAGTGGGTGAACAGCTGCTGACAGAAAATAGTACTTTGTAGAGACACTGAGACAGGAGGAAAGCGAGGGACAGCTCTCTTTAGGCGAAAAATCTATGATTAAACTTTCAGTCCCCACCCTCACTTTAGAACAGGGAATAAGAATGCTCAGTGGGATCCATTAGGAGTCTGTGTAGACGCTATCTGATGAGTAAAGTGATGCTACGTTCATCGCAAGCTGAAGACAATGCCAAAGTTATCACGTGAGACCACAAGCTACACTGCATGAGCAACGAAAGAGGAGGGCACGGTGAGGATGCCTCGGAACGTTCCTACTACTGACACAGGTGGAGGGCCAAACAAGCCAGAAGCAGGACCCCGTCTCTTCTTCTGGATGTCTCATATCCGGTGTGTCTACACTTTGCAGAGAAAGTCCGTGTAGGATTTAGTTACACTGACCTTACTTATTCTGATCAGAGAGTTATCAGTTCTAAGGAAGCAGTTTCAAGTTGATATGATTCCAGTGTATTTGGTCGATCATGTGAACCAGCAATTTCCTTCTTCCTGTCTGCTGTGTTTCAGCAACTTAAAAGGCTTCTCTCAGAGACTGAAGCTTTACGTCAGCATTGTCCAAGCTGCATTCTGTGCTAACAAATTCTGTCTACGCTTAGGGAGACAATATTCCAGTTACGTAATACAAGTCTGTAAAACTGCAAAGGCAAGGCCACACTTCTCTTGATTGTATTGAAAAGAAAGCTTGAACCTTGCCATTATCCTTACAAAGCAGTACGGTCACATCTGGAATCTCCATCTGAGTAACTTCTCTTATAAGAAAGAATACTCACTGCCAAACAGACAAACTTGACAACACAGTAACATTTAAGAAAGATTCAGTGCCTAACATCCAGTCAGATTCAAACACAGGAGAAAGGAGTGTGGTCCAAATCCTTGCTACTCTACTGGAGAGTCAGGCAGACTGCTGTGCAGCCTGCCAGTGTAAGACTCCACACACCTCACAAAAGGGAGGACACAGCCCTAGCCTCGGCCCCACCACAAATACTGAACCTGTTACTGTGGTAACCACCAGGGCCAGGAAGGGCTGCTCAAAGTTCACACATAAATGTACATAACACGTAAAAGTGCATTTGTTTTCACAGACTAATTTCTCTGTCGATTTCTTAAGAATCACGACTGTAGCACTTCCCACTCACTACATGTGTTCAGCGAGACCATTTGTAAACTTGTCGGCCTGTTTAGCTATGTTACTTCAACTTGGAATACTTGTGAGGATGTGGCCACAGAAGGATGTTTGTAGGTGAAATGGCTTCAAAGTCTTAGGATTAAGCTATTTGAAAATGTCAAAATTTCAAATTTGTACAATGTCTTATTTCCAAAGGGCTAAAGGTTTCAGGATGTATTATATACTCACATCTTTACATGAGTATACAGTAATTAACCGCAAAGAGTTAGACTAGGGTGAGGGGTAGGATTTGTCTTCGAGCAACACTTACATAGCACACACTCTGTTTTTCATTCTTATTTATATTATTTTTTATTTTTTGTTTTAATTTTTAAATTACATTTCTCTCTCTCTCTCTGTGTGTGTGTGTGTGTGTGTGTGTGTGTGCATGTGCATGCACCACAGCATGCATGTGGAGGTCAGCACACAACTAACAAGAGTCTGTTCTCTTCTTCCACTGTGTGTTGCTAGGGAGCAAACTCATGTCACCAGGCTTGGAGGTGAATAGCCTTACCCACAGAGCAATCTAACTAGCCCTATGCTTTTTGAAGCAGATCATTTGGTGATTATTTGGTAAGAACTCGGGGAGGGACCTGAAGGAAATTTGGGGACCAAGGCTGATGTTAGCCATCGCATTGTACTGCTGCCAAATCCAAATCACATCCTTGGTGAAGGTTATTTCTGGGATTGCTCACCTCTGGATCATTTTCTAGTAAATCAGCTTTTGTGCTGCCTCCCATCACCTTT